TCAAATTTATGAAGAGGATGCTGATGCAGATGATCGTATTACTTCTTCGGATCCTATAAGAGAGATTTTTTTCATCAATTCCGATGAAGAGGATGGAGGAAATGCAACTTTTTTTAATCCTAATCTTAAGCCTTTAGAAATCGATGACCTTTTTTTTAGTGCATTCGACTATCTGAGTTGATCACCTTCGGGCAATATTTTCTATTATCCTATGCTAGACTTTGTTTTTTTAGACCTTATAATATGACAATGTACTTCCTTCAATGTATATGGAGTGATTATGTTATTAGTAATGTTCTACCTTTAGCTTTAATAATGTATAATGGATGTTTTGAAACTTCAAAAATGTGCCTTACGCCTTACGCCTTGATGGAGAAACGACCCATATACTCAGTACGTCTTTTCAAACATTGGGGATGATATCACATTGTTTGCTTTGAGGGAACGATCCCCTGATAAGCGGGAAGCACACAATGACCACATTCTAAAGCGCATAAGCAAGAAAGAAGCAAGCGTCATAATTTTGGCGAGATGCGCGATGCGGATCTCATTGCTGCTATAATAGTCAAGAACTGCAAAAGGGGATACAAACATACATTTGAATTTGATGTTTGGTCCAGATTTGTTATTCAATTTATATGTCTATATACTCCCTGACTATAGTAGCTGGCAAATGTACTGTTTAATACTCCATCTGTCCGGATGTAGCTGTCCACTTTTTAAAAACTCAATTTTTAGAAAAGAGTTTAAAATGTCAAATAAGTCATTCAAATGAAGATGCCACTCATTCATGTCAACAATGGTTATACCCCATCTCTAGGATATTTTAGATATTCATCATAATTTCTATATTAAATATGGAAAGTAGACAACTAATTCTGGACAAACAAAAAAAGAAAGTGGACAATTTTTTCTGGACGGAGGGAGTAGCTTTTTAAATTCATTTCTGAGATTTTGCATCATTTGCAGATGACATTTGCTCCTGCACTGAGTAGGGAATTTCGTCCCTGTAAACCAGATCCAGCCCCATTGCTGCATATCTGTAAGACTTGGGATATGCAGCCAAATGAAGTCATGATGATAGGAGATAGCCTTAAAGATGACGTGAGTTCTTTTCTTCTCCTCATTGCATGCCGTTTTTATGCTTGTTTAACATGAACGAATTCATTGGCAACATATATAGCAATTATTACCACATTAGATGTCTTCTGATTTGATTGCTTGTTATACATTGCCTGCTTGAACATCTGAGTTGTCTAGGCTAATTTTTATAGATCATCTGTTGCAATGAAATAGTATTATTAAGCTACGGATCATTACCAAATTGACTATGCGTTTAAAAGGATTACTAAAATACTTGTAAAAAACACTTGTGGCCCTGCAAATCATACCACCTAAAAACCAACAGCAAAAAAGTCTGTTGATTACATGCGATGGATTTGTTCTTGTAGGTTGCATGTGGGAAACGAGCTGGAGTGTTTACCTGCTTGCTTGATGAAACAGGGATGTACGATTCTCCAGAATATGCAAATGTTGAGTTCCAACCAGATCACAAGGTTTCTTCTCTTCTGGAAGTTCGAACTGTGCTAGGCACACATTTCGACCTCACGCCGTGATTTGGGAATTAAGGTGGCTTTGTCTAGGAAATAGGCATCGAGTGCAAAGTCAAAGATTATTGTACTAATATATGTTTGTAGCTTCATCATACATAGCTTGCAACGGTAGAAACAAAAGCAGACCAGCTTGCTCAGTTTAGGACAGTGCAAGGGATGCATCACTCAGAGCAGAACGTTAAATATAGGGTAACATTTCTTTCTCCACTTCTCGATGGTTTAATTAAGACACGATGTATTTTGAATCTTCCCCCTACTCATTCTGAATTGACTGATATTGCGTGAACATGATTTCATGATTTCTTCTTGTTTGTGCTTTAAATTGTTTGCTGCTACTTCTACCCCATTTTATATTGCTTGTATTCCTTTTTATCCCTCCCAAATTATTTTTCGTTTCCTTTTATGGAAAACAATATGTTATTGGTATTACTCTCTCCGTTCCAATTTAAATTATCTGTTTACGATGTTTAACTGAAGTTATTTTCAAATCATTTTAAAATTTATAAATAAAAATTACATATTTAAAAATTACATCAAGAGATTTTCAAAACTAGTGGTATGTGACTTTGTAATTTCATCAAATGACCAATGAAAATAAGATTAGAAAGTGAACAAAATTTGACTTTGTGAATAGTAAACATATACTCCCTCCGTCCCTCTGTATTTGTCTACTTTCATTTTTACACACCATCCAATGTACTTCTTTAATCTATTTTATCTTGTAATTTGTATATTAAAAAATTATAGAAATTATATATTAATAATCTATATGTTAAGACAAATCAAACAAGATCACACATTACTATATTTAGACTTACACATTGAGAGAATTTGATGAGTCAAAGTGCTTAGATGAACAGTTTCAAAAGTCAAATGTGGACAAATACAGGGGGACGGAGGGAGTAATTTAATTTAATTTGGGATGGAAGAAGTATTTGTTTATACCCTACTTAAATATCGACTATATCACTCAAAAAAAGCAACTACATAGTTTCACTTTTCCAAAAAGTATACCCATTCAAAGTAGGGATTGTAAAATATTTCTTCCATCTCAATTTAAGTTGCATGATTACTATTCATAGTGTCAAGTTTTAACCATTTTTTACCAATTTGATAAAATAATATATTTTTATCACCTCTTATTTTGTAGATTTTTTGATGTAGTTTTTAAATATGTAAATCTAAGTAATGTAGTTTTTAAATTGGGACGGATGAAGTATCTATTACTAAGTAGTCCTTTCGTTCCAATTTAAGTCATTTTTTTCAATTTACAATGTTTGACTGAAGATATTTTCAATTCAATTTATATGAAAAGCGGCGTAGAATTAAGAAATAAAAATTACATATTTAAAAACTAAATCAAAAGATCTACCTTATTAATGAAATGAAAATCATCCGTCAAAGGTAGTTTCTATTTTCTTTCTTATTGAATGTTTTTCCAAATTAGTCCATTTTTGAAATAAAACCTTATTTAATATAGAAAAATAATTATATATATTTTATATGATGAGAAAATAATAAATAAAACTATAAATATAATTTAATTAATTTGAAAGTAAATGTCTCGGATTATTTAAAATTATTTAGAAGACTATCATGTACACAAAATAATTAGAAACGGTTCCATCCGTTTTGAAATAAGACTCCTGCTTCAATTTATAATATTTGGTCAAAGTTATTTTCAAATAAATATAAATGCAAATTGGTCTAGAATTTTTTGTTAACATGAGTCTTATTTTATAACGAAAGAAAAATTATGAAAAGAGATTCGGTTTCTGAAATAATAATTTTTGCGAAAATAAAGTATAACTTTTATATTTGCATAAAATTGAGTTTGGTAATTATTAAATTATCAAAGCTAAATAATACTTCATTCATTTCCAAATAAAGATTTTGTTTACAATTCACAAGGTCAAACTAAATCTATTTTCTTAATAAATTTTCGTTGATCATTTCAAAAAATAGTCCTGTCAACACTTGTGTTCTAAAATTTCTTGCGTAAATTTTTAATATATAGTATTTTTTGAATTCTTGACCAATTTTTAGTAATGATTTTTTGAAAATAACTTCAGACATCATAAATCAAAACAAGAACCTTATTTCAAAACTGGAAGAGCAAATAAATAACATTATTTAATAAAAATTTTATTTATATTATATTCTTCTAAATAATTATAAACAATCTAAAATGTTTATTTTTAAATTTAGAAAATTATGCTTATAGCTTTATTTATCATAATCTCATCCTATAAAGTTAACAATTACTTTTTCATATTTAATGACCAATATGAGAAAACATTCCATTAGAAAAGACTATTTCAAAAAATTATTAAAACTTTTAATATCGTTTTGACGCCTTTAGAAAGGTGAGCTATGCTGTATTAGATTAGGAGGATAAATATATTAGAAAATAAGGGTGAAATGACTAGATGGTTATCATTTTCTAGTCACATAAATTTTACGCTTTACTAAAAATTTACTGTCTACCCCTATTATGATAACCGGATTACAAGATAGAACTTTTGAAATAAAAAGAAAGTGTACGGATTATTTTAATTACTAACTAAAAATTTACTATCTACCCCTATTATAGTAACCGAATTACAAGATAGAACTTTTGAGATAAAAAAAAGTATACGGATTATTTTAATCTCTATCTCTGTTGAGTGGCTTCTGCTCATTTCCTTATCAGTTGAGTAGCTTTTGCTCCTCTCCAGATCAATAGGGGCTTCCACATGTAGCACGAAAATTTTAAAATTAAATTTGTGTGGTTGATATTGATGTAAATTAGATAACACATAGTAAAAATAAATATAAACGTTGTAAAAATAAAAAATGGGAAAGAAAAAATGGGATAAAGTTATTTCTACCCTAAGAATTTGTATCCCATTTTGTACACCGCAGAATGCACTAACATTTTGTATTAGTGTAATGCTAATTTTTATTAATGCACCAACACTTTGTATCAATGTAAATTTTTGTTAACGCACCAATACTTTGTGTCAGTTTGAACCACAGAATGTTGGTGCATACCTTTAATGTACAAATATGATACCCCCTCTGTTTGCTTATTTTACTAGTCATTTCATAAAATAATATACTCTTGTTACTTCTAGTTTTATAGCACTTTTCATGTAGTTTATTACTATATAAATTTTATTTTAATATTTTACTCTTATAATCAATTAAATTGAATTAAAAATAAAGTTGGTAAAACTCGTAACGCGTAAAGGGAAGATCTTAGATAGACGGAGAGAGTACATATTTTGGGGTACATGTAGGATGCTTCCAAAAAATTGTTAAAAAGGACCTGAGCAAAACACTGCCGCCAAAGATTTCTGCCAAAATCGTAATGCTACTCGTCGCCTGATTATTGAATAACGTATAACTGAAAATGAAAAAACAAACTGTCGCGGATTGGAATTTATTTGTTTACCCCGAGTATTTATAACCAAGTTCAATCATCTTTTTTCCGGAATCTGCAATTCTGAATAGTTTCAATCAATCAGCTCTGGCATAAAGGAAACACCGAAAAGATGCTTTGCTATCAAGAATTTCAAGAAAGGAAAGAAGAATCGCAAGAAGAAGATGGCAGCAGCAGGTTTATTGACTCCGGCGCCATCGACAACCTGTCTCTGCTCCACCTCAACTCCGCCGCGAAACGCCGTCCGGCCGCCATAACGGCTGAGAATGGCACTTCCAGCGCCGCCTCCGCGAAAAGGTCATCCCCCACTTTCGTCTCGTCTCTTCCGGAGCCTTCCCCGAAGCGACCCACTCTGCTCCCGCCTTCATCTTCCTTCTCCCCGCCGGCGAACGGCGCCGGCGCCACCAAACCGCAGCCATCTTTTCTCTACCGGAGCTTCTCCGAACCCATTGATACTACGGGTCTGCTGAACGCCCGATCAGCCGAGAATTCCAAGACGGAGGATTTCGGTCCGGTCTCTGCTTCCGGCGGATTCTTGAGCCCATCGCCGGGAATTTCCAAGACCACCGGCCCCTCATTCAAAACTCCTTCTCCGCCGATGAATTCAGACTTCCTGCCGCCACTCCATCCCCTCTGCAGATCAATCTCCGATCCCTTTGCCGCCACAGATTTCCAAGCACCGCAAGTGGCGGCGGCGGCGGCTGCCACACCACCCAAACGCCCGGTGTGGCCACAAACCATCAAGACGTCTCCCCAGAGCTCCGCCGAAGAGAGTCCCAGCACAAAGGTAGAATCTTTAATTTGATTTTGTTTTAATACATACATGTTCTTGGGAAATTAAAAAAAACGATGCTTAATTACACGAGGAATCGATTGTTTTCCGTTCCAATCTCAGAGGCTACAGGCAAAGATGAAAGCGGGAATGCGGAAAATGAGACAATGGTGCGATCAACTAATGCAAGAAGTGGTTGAAGATGAAAAGGAAGAGACCCCAAACCCAAAGGTACATTAATTATATATGTATATTTGGGTCTGTTACGTTCTTCAATCATAAAATCATTCATTCATTTAAATTAAAGAACTGAGAAAGGATATTGTATTTATTTTTTGATTGATGAATTGCAGGGGAACGAGAAGGGAACAGAGGAGGAGGAGGAGGAGGAGGAGAAAGGGTCGGAATCAGTGTGGGTGGAGAAAGCTGGAGAGGGGCTTGTGATCCACTTCAAGTGCCCCTGCAAGAAAGGCTACGAGATCCTTCTCGCCGGCAACAACTGCTACTACAAACTCATCTGAGACCTCATCACTTCAACTCATTCATTCATTCATTCATTCTCAAGCTTTGCTCACACTTGAGACTAAGCAGCAGCAGCATCAGCAGCTAGTTATTGCATTCGTTGAGTCATCTTTTTCTTCTTTTCTTTCTTCTTTTTTTTTTAAATACCGTAAAGTCTGTCTAGTGGATCAATTGTTTTTCACAGTGTACCGGATAAATATACTCCATGTTGTGTACCTTTGGTAGATGCTTTAATTTCGTCCCACAAATGTTAGCAAAAACTATTGTCCTACCAAATTAGATATGCACAAATTTACTCTAGAAATCATCCAAAATAGGACTAAAACATAGAAAAAAGTATCAAAATTGGACTTTCATGTTTTTTTTTCCCGGAATAGGACTTTGCACTCTGGTAATGTGACTTTGCATTGTGGTAATGTGGCAGTGTACATGTGCAAATTACTATACTTTGGTGGGGTTATGCTACACTTACACCACAAATTGTACCCCATTTGTACACTGTAGTTATACACAAACATTTTGATGATTTACACCGACACAAGTGTTGGTGCATTAACAAAAATTTACACGGACACAAAGTGTTGGTGCATTAACAAAAATTAGTTTTACACCAACACAAAGTGTTGGTGCAAAGCTACGGGGTACAAAATGGGGTACAAATAGCTTTACCCATTTTGGTGGGTAAATTCTTAGCGCGATAAATGTGAATTATGCAACAATGTAATCCTTTATATATATAAAGCAGAGTCGGAGCTATAAGAACGTGACATTTGGCAGAGCTAAAGCGTGACATGTGGCAAGCTGATGTGGCGACATTTGGCAAAGTTAAAGCGCGACATGTGGTGAGCTGATATGTCACCCTTTTAGACAAATCGATCGGTTTGAACGGTTAGACCAGTTCTTTTTTTGCAATTTTTTTCCAAAAGCATAACACCATGGGGTTTGAAACAAGGATCTCTTGGTCATTTAGTTGAGTTCCTAACCATCCAAGCTAGGGTGCTTTTTGTTACGATCTCACTTAAGCTTTTATAATGTTTCATAATTAAAAAAGAATTGTATAAAAATTTCTTTTTAATTATAAAAAATATAATCCTTTAATATAATATTTGAGACTCTGTTTGCTAGAAAGTCGCCAAAAGACAAGCTTATATGGGCTATATTAAGGTGAAATGGCAAGTCTTTATTGGTTGCTTATGTGGCAAATTTTATTAATGATGAATCGACCTTTTTTTATTTTAAAATAGAAATTTAATAATGATTTCAAATTTTGGAAAAATTTTACGTTAAAAGATTTAGTACAAATAAAGAATTCATTACTTCGTGACATTAGTTGAGTATTTATATTTTTTATTTTTAAAAAGCAATTCATCTATTTATTTGTTATGATGTGATAAAATTAATTATGTTATAAAATCAAATTTGTGAAAGATAAATGTAGTATTGTCCAAAATAAATTTTTTAAAGGAAAACAATTATATAAAATATAATTTTATGATAAAAATTATTATGATGTAGCAAACAATTAGTGAAAATATAAAATTGGTATTATCACTTACCATTTCAAGACTAGCATTTTTTATGAATCAAATTTTTAACTAAGTGCATACACAAAAAACAAAATTTTGATAATGATATATTCTCATTTAAGAGTATTCTTATAGAAAAGGATCAAATATGTTTATAATTGATCCTTTATTTATAAAATTGATATTTTAATCTTTAAGAAGCAGAGATGTGATATTGTTTAAGAGACATTTCTGACACGTAAAATATATTATAGAAAGTAAGAAGTTAATACTATTGTATGAAGTCCTTCGGTACAATTAATTATGGAAGAGAATATAGATATTCATTTTTATAATAATTATTTTCTAATTGTGTATAATTTTCTATTCAATTATTACAAAACTTCTAAAAGTGTGTTTGGTGAGCAAAAAAAATATGAGTTTTGAATTTTGATATCTCTAGATATCCTTATCCTTTTCTGGTGTTTGGTGAAGCTAAAAGAGTTATCAAATTTAATATCTACAGATATCATAAATCTTTAAAATTGATGGTCTCAGTATCTCCCGAATTTGGGAGATCTCAATATGGGGGTTTGATATCTCTCTCAAGTATTGATCATTCTTCGTCACTCGCTACCATTATCACTGCCAACCACTCCCGTTGCCAGTCACCTTT